AGGGTAGAGAGAATGGTGCAGCAATGAAGGAATGAAAACCCAAAATCCCTGTAAATGTTCATTAAAACTAATAAAATTTAATAATAATAAAAAAAGAAAAAGAAAAACAAAGGCGAGGAGTGATGGAGGCTACTGATGGTAGGGTGATTGGTGAAGTCTTCTTGAAGGAAGTGAAATGTAAGCAGTGGTTTGGATAAACTGAAAGAGCAAATGTTAAAAATATATAAGGAAAAGGCCTCCAGACTGAAGGAATACTAGGTGTAAAGGAAGAGCAAATATTAAAAATATATAAGGAAAAGGCCTCCAGACTGAAGGAAGACTAGGTGCAAAGGAGTTAAGCTGGAAGCTTCCCAGTGTATTATAGGAAAGAGGCCAAAATAGGACTGGGTTAAGAGGGAGAGGAAAAAGAGATGAACTCAGCACTAGCCAGAGACCATGCCATTCATAATAGGTTCTATAGCACAAAGAAAAAGCAACTTTCTTCTTTGGAAGTTCAAATCCACCAGTAGCTCCAAGGCAGAAAAAAATCTCTTCTCATGTAATCTGCAGCCTCAGAAACCCCCAGGTAAGGAACCAACTATGAGTGGCCATGAGGGACTATGTAGATTAAGTGTGAAAGGGAAACCACTGGTACGCTTTGTTGTTGTGTTTGTCTTTTTCTTTTTCTTGTTGTGCATCATCAAATCAAATCAGACTGGTCCAGGAGGAGATTGCCTTTCCGTCTCCAGCAGAACATCTGGTCGATTCGAACCGCGTGCTTTCAGGGTTGCAGCGCAGCTTCTTGTCACACCGCTGGTATATTTTAAACAATGGAGTGATAGGATATGCTATGTCCACATTTCTTTTTTGACAGAAAGTCCTTTGAAGCTTAATGATCGATCATTATTTAGGGGTCTGCCACGGTGCTCATACCATGGTGGGGGCAAGCCCTCAGGGTGATTTATACAGAAAAAGAGAAGAGTGGAGTGACACCTAGTGGCAAAATCAAATAGGCTGATAACAATCAGAATCATTCAACTTGCCTCGCAAAACATGAGAGCAATATAAAAAAGAATAACAAATGTTAGCAAGGATATGGAGAAATTGTTATTGGGTTTGTAAATGGTGTATCTACTTTGGGAAAAATAGTTTGGTAATTCCTCAAAATGCTAAACATAGAGTTACCATACTGCATAATAATGCTACTCCTAGGTATATATCCAAGAGAATGAAAGCATACATTTACTGAGAACTGGTATATAAAATTTAGTAATGTCATTATTCATAACATCTAGGAAATGGAAACAACTCTCAATTGTCCATTCATTGATGAAAGGATAAACAGAATATGGTTTATCCATATAGTAGAATTGTATTCAGGCCTATAAAAAAGTTATCATACTGCACATGAACATGAATGAACATATGCATAAACCTCCGCTCAAAAAGCCCAAAGGCTCCATATTCTTCCATTGATATAAAACAGCCAGAATAGAGAGATCTATTCAGACAGAAAGTAGATTAGTGGTTGCCTAAGTCTAAGGTGTAAATAGTGTAGAAACAGGAATGACAGCCATTGGTTACAGAGTTCGTTTTTGGGGTGATGAAAAGTTTCAGAACAAGCTAGTGGAGATGTATATACAACATTACATATCTCACTGCCACCAAGCTGGTTCCGAATCACAGCACCGTCCACTGGATTTGCAAGGCTCTATATCACAAAGGGATTGAGCCCCTCTTTCTCTGCCAGAGCTCATGGTGCAACCAGTGTTCTTTAAAGGACGGTGAGACTTTCTCTCATATTTTAGGCATGTTGTTAGAAGGGACATCATTCTTGGAAAGGTGGAGGGTCAGTGAAACAGCAAGACCCTCAATGACATGGATTGACACAGTGACTGCAACAATAGGCTCATGTGTGTCAGAGATGATGAGTATGGCACAGGATAGGACAGGCTTCAGATCTGTTTTTCATAGGGATGCTACGAGTTGTACTTGTCTCAATGGCACCTAGTAACAACTATATATATGTACACACACGTACACACACACAGTTGTTGTGTGTGGTCGAGTAGGAACCCACCCATAGCTGATCATCCAGAGGGTTTTCAGAGGCAGTAAATCGCATAGAAGGAGAATGCTCATCAAGATTTCAATTGTCAAATCTATGATATAACACTCTGTCTCTAAAAACTACCACTATGTATTCCAGTGTCACATGGACTGTATTAAATCCAATCATTTATTAAAGTCCAATGCTAAATGTCATATTTGTTGTTGTGTGGGCCAAATGACAGCATCATGATAGATGGTGAAGAGATTGACATTGTCAACAATTTCAACTTGCCTGGGTCTACAATCAACACTCACAATCAACCAGCAGCCTGTCAGGGACATCTCCAGAGTGCTAAAGAGCAATGGTATCATTACAGAGACGAAGGTGTACCTGATCAAGGCTATGGTCTTCACAATTACTTGCTATGCATCATAGAGCTGGACAATGAATAAGAAAGAATGACAGAAGAAGAACTAATGCCCTTGCACTGTAGTCATGGAGAAGAGTATTGAATATACCATGGACTGCCAACAGAACAAACAGGTCTTTTCTGGAGAGGGTGAAATCAACTTGCTCTTTGGAGAAAAGGATTTTGAAGCTCTGTCTCACATACTTTGGACATGTTTTCCAGGACAGACCAGTCCTTGGAGAAGAGACATCATGCTTGGAAGGGTGGAGAGACAATGCAGGAGAGGAAGACCCTGAATGAGATGCACTGAAACAGTGACTGGGGTAATAGGGGCAGGTGTGTCAGAGACAGTTGGATTGGCTCAGCATAGGACAGAGTTCAGAGCTATTATGCTTAGGGTCACTATGAGTCGCAGGTGAATTGATGGCACATAACAAGAACAATAACCAGAAATGACTCACAGCTGACTTTCCAGTGGATTTTTAGAGGCAGTAGATGGTATGGGAGGAGACTACACATTTTACTTCTACAGAGCAGCAGCAAGTGGGTTCGAACCACATGCCTTTGGGTTGGCAGCACAAATCCTTTGCTAAGCCTCAAGAGCTCCCTTTTATGCCCATTAAATGTCCTGTTTAATTGACTATGCATTCTAGTTAAAAGTTAATGAAGGACCACTATATATCCAAGGTTACATGAGGAGTTAGATAAGAAAGATAGAGCCAAAAAGGTAAGATGGAGATGGAGCTGGAGTTAGAGCTTATGCCCAGAGGCCCAAAAATCATGCTGAGTTTCAGCACTTAGTCTACATTGGAAAAAAGATTTTAAAAAATTACCTAGAGTAGTATCTTTTTTTTCTGTTCCTTGTCCATAAAGTACAAAGTAACTGTGTAAAGCTCACCCAGAATAAAGAAAGGAAATCTTACATCATTTCGGTCCTTGGTCAGTCTCTCCTCTAGTTCCTGGGCTAACTGCAAAAGCCACCACTGGACCTAAAAGGTTATATTAACATTTTAATCTTTCATTTAAAACTCTGTTTTAGTTGCTGGATTAGTACACCAAAGACCCCTCTGAAACCAACAGAAATCTGCTCAGCACTCCGACCTGCCCTGACTCAGGACTTTCGCTTGTATTTCCTGCTGACATGAGGTGAATTTCAGGCATGCTCTAACTCTGAGAGAAAAACAGAAAACAAGCCAGAGGACACAGTGAGGTTGAATTTTTTTCAACTTTGTCGGTTCCATTTTCTTTCTTTTTAGGTGTAAACAGGGGGAGAGGAATAATTACAAATTAAGTGAGTCAGTCCATTTTCACTATAAGAAAGGAATTTCTACTTTATACATTTCTAGCCTAAAGGTCTCCTCTAATCTATTAAAGCTTCCACAGCTACCAAAATCATACGAGAGGCAGTTTTCTACCTACTTGATCTGGAGTAGCCAGAGCAGTTTTTCCTGGGAAGTTCTTGCTACAGCCAATGGTTTTGGGTAGTTGCCTGGGTTTAACTGGATCATGTTCAATCCCTCGGCACATCGCATATAGCCAAGACCTAAGAAAACCAGAAAAGAACAGTAAGTTGGAAACAAATGGTTATTCTTGTTAAAACAAAATACCTACATTATATTACCCTTTTATTATCTTCTTTTAAAAAGGAAAACTGTCTGAAATGAGGTGTAACTGACCTCTTGACACTGAATCCCTGCCCCTCCCTTTGAGTTTCAGTGCAATATATACTGATTGGCTTCCTGTAACCAAGTCCTCATTTGTATAGATGCCTTAGAGAAGGATCACCCAAGCCACAAGTCAAATTCCCAAGGTTTTTGTGTTGGTTCCTGCCCCACCTCAGTGGCAATGTTGTTATGTGCCGTCGAGTCGCTTGCGACTCATAGCGACCCTATGTACAACAGCCCTAAACTCCGCTCTGTCCTGTGCCAATCGCACTGTCTCTG